GACACGTTCGCTGAGCATCTTTGGGCAGCAGAGTTTTGAGCACTTTGAAACACTTGACAGGATGGTTCTTCAGATTAGTTCGCAGGAAGGGGATGATGACGGTTTCGAGGCATTGCCTGATAGTGATTGGGAAGAAAAAATATGTATCACTGATGATAATGTAGGGCAATATGGACAACTGCCGACTGACTGTACGTACTTGGTCATATCGGACTTTGAAGTGAACTGCCGAACGGCAGTGCAGACGATTAACTGCCACAGCAGTACACGATTGTCTGCCTGGCCAAAATCATTCAACGTCAAACTACCATTCAGTCCACGTGCTAGTTGAATTAGCTGGATGTCGTTTGGTGCTACTTCGCTCTTAATAAATTCAACAAAAAAGTCATAAACAGGCTTGCTTATCTGAGTATTCCGCTGTACGAGGTACATCTTCTCTAAAGCGGAGAGAATATGCGCTTTCAGTTGATCATATATCTTCTTTTGAGAGTAAATATTCTACAAATTAAAACAAAAGTAGTCAAATGTTTTAGTATTGAAAATGCACAAAGCTCACATACCTTAATTTGAGCAAAAGTATTAACCTTGACAATAAACGGCAGGTAGAACCCAATTAGTAAGCGAGTCTTCCTTTCCAGATATGCATCACTGCTAAGTTGGCATAAGCCCTCAAAGATCTAGTTAATAAAAACAAAATTAGGACACTTGCAATAAACTGTAATTAGAAAATATACATACGAGTAAGAAACACTTTGACAAGGTCGAGTCATTAGAATCAATCAATGTCCCATTTGGCACAATTAACAGGTGCTCGATAATTAAAGCCAACAAACAATCAGCTTTCCCGGGTGTGTACAGCTGAATGCAGCAAATATTCACCAGGCGTGAGATCAGCCAAAACACCGTCTTCAGCTGCTTCACGTTAACCGTAAGGGTGGTAGATTTGGAGTTGACTGAAGCAAAGACGATTCGGCACTCAGTAATGAATGGGCCAAAACACTTTGCTACAAATGCATTGTGGCTCAGTTTTTCCGCATAACTGCACAAGCTACTGTGTTTTGAGTGAAGCTCTTGAATAAATATTTGATAGTAGTCAAAAATCTCCTCTTCCAGACTTTTCTCTGATTCAGTCAATGGTACAGAAGCTTCAATAAAGAGTATATTGCGAACAAGATTCCTCGATATTGAGGACATCTTTTCAGGAAAGTTAGAAATTCCCACTGGCAACAGACGACACCAAACTGATATGAGCAAAACAGTCAGATCAGAAGAAAAAATATCATCATCAGAAATTTCATCCTTAATCTTAGAAAGAACTTGGCAGTCTTCAAAGAGTAAATAGAGGTAATTGATTTGAAAAGAAGCCTGTGGTTTTTCGGTTATGTGCAGAAAGTACTTGATTGCAGCAAAAAGTGGCTTTGGTGTGAGATGATTTTGCTTTCTAAATATAAAACAAAGTTGATAATAAAAATAAGGATAAACAAAAAATTAATTACTCACTCAATCAACAAAGTGCTTAGTGTAATATTGAAAGCAACATTGCTTATCATTTCCAGGTCGGCTTCTTCAGAACAGTTGACCAATTCAGTTTTAGTGAGATTCTCTAATTTTTCATTAAGTTTTTTGGAAAACTCAATCATTTCTTTTTTATTGTGACAATACTCCAACGATGACAAGTTTTCGAGAAAATCTGATGCCAGGGCACGAGATTCATTCTCTTGAATTGACTCGATACAAAACTGTAACAGTTCGCCAAGTGTTTCAATGACTTGAGGCGGCTTTTGAAAATCTGACGATTGCTTTGAAGACCGTACATTGCGCTGTATGGCTATCAAGTCAAGGGGGAATACAAGTTTCTCGAGAAGTTGAAGGTAATGTTGAGAGAACCTAGACGACTTTAGCGAATCAACCAGCAGTCCGAGTTCGTCAAAGTACAGCCTCACAAAAGCAATGTACTGGCTCAAACTACAATTTAAAAGAGCAATCTGTAACTTTTCAAAAAGCTTCAGCAACTGATCCGTCACTTTGCCGATGACATCGTTGGAAAACTTTTCCTGTTGAATCAGTCCAAAGTGAAACTGCACAAGCATTCCCGCCATTGATCCATTAGGTTTGCTTTCAGCGCATATATTTTTGCCAATTTCACCAAAAATGTTCAAAGCTTTATCCAGTATTTCTGCACAGCGATCATCGGGAATAGAAAGCACAAGGGTGAGATAAAATGTGCACAAGTTGAAAACTCCCATAAGATCGAATAGTTTAAGTGATCTCGGCTGCAGAGTGATGACAATTTTGCTAACCAGCTTTTGAAAGTTTCCATTAACATTCTTCAGTTCGTCATTCTGACAGGAGAAAAGCTCTTGCAATTGCCTAGCAAGTAAGCGGAGAAAAAGTTTGAAGTTGTTAGGCTCGTTGCTAGAGTTCAGCATCTGTTCGACGTCCTTGTGCCACGACAAGCTGTTCCGAGGCATCCACGAAATGTATTCCTGAACAGAGTTGGGGTTTCCACTGTGAACATTATAATTGACGTTGAGATTTTTTAGGAAGTACTCTACGAATAGTAGTAGCAGATCAAAATTTGGAAATGTAAGATATTGCGAGTTCTTGAGCGTTAAAATGAGCAAATTATAAACTATCAACTCGTTGTTGATCTTTGCTTGAGTTGAATTTGATGCTTCACAATTTTTCAAAGCCTGGCGCACAAGTTTTGTCAGGGCAGCAGGATGAGTAACTTTGAATGTGCCGATTCTCAAATGATTAGAAACGTCTAGGTCAATTAGCAGTAGAGGAACTATGTTGCTGAATATCCACACTTGAAACAGTCGATAATAAGATTCATGATAAATGGCAATCTTTGGAAAAGAAATTGAAGAAAAGTACTCAAAGTACACTTCATGTGTTTGCATATCCTCTTCATTGTACTGTTGTTGCTCTATTTGGCCATTCTTATGATTTGCAGTTGAGCCATCAAAAAGACTCAAAACATCAAAGAGAAAGTTGTAATACTGATCCAAAGTGGACATTTTTTCCAAGTCAGTTGATGAGTTTGGTGAAGTGATCAACATTCGAATGGCGACAACGATCTCCCATGAACATGTGCAAATAAAAGGCGACTGGTAGTGGTAATCAGTGCTTGGCGTAAACTTTGTCTCAAAGTGACTCCTTGAGCCGAGCAAAAGTATGTCGTAAAGGAGGATGCGAATTGACTGGGTAAACATAGGATGACCACTGATTTTGCAGGTTGATACCGAAAGGTCTTCCTTGACCAGGAAAATATCATTAAAACTGAATTTGCTCAGGTTGCTCATTTGCATCAGGGAAGATATCTCGACGGTTGACCACCAAATTTCCAGCACAACATGGTAATAGCTGTATAAAGCTGTCTTTTGATCTAATAAGTGCTGAAATGGCGACTCAGTGCTGGCTGATTTTCTGTGTTTCAGCCAAAAAAAATGTCGAAACTGGCTTATTCGTCCGGTGAAAATGAGCAAACTCTTCAGCTCTTTTAAAATGGACGCGCACAACTGAAATAGATTCAAGCTTTGTTGAACATTATCTGAAGTGATATTGCCTATGAGAAAAAGCGTCCGTTTAATAAATCCAAACAAATCGTTGATTGATTGTCGAAGCTCGCAGAAATGTTTTTCATTCAGTGGCATAGAATCATGCACGTTAGAAGTGTCAGACAAGCTGCCAAGGTGGCTTCGTAATTCGTTGATGTTTCTTCTGTAAAGCTCACAACGTTAAATTAAGTTAAACAATAACTTCTTTTATTACTTACTTTGCAAACTTAAAGAGAAGACTAATAGTTTGTACTGTTATCACAGACGAAGGATTGCGAACGAGCGGGATATCTACAGATTGGAAGAGGATGATTGAGGTTTCATGCTGGTCTTCAGGCACAGTGTACCGGTCTTCCAGATAACGATCATCTCTGAGAATCAGCCTATTTGACTAAAGCGATTAATACACTGGTTTAAATGCATAAAATAGNAACAGATTGGAAGAGGATGATTGAGGTTTCATGCTGGTCTTCAGGCACAGTGTACCGGTCTTCCAAATAACGATCATCTCTGAGAATCAGCCTATTTGACTAAAGCGATTAATACACTGGTTTAAATGCATAAAATAGAGTTGTACCTTTTCAAATCACTTGAGGGTAAGAAGTTGAAAGCGTCAAACAAATGTTCTCTTAAAAACTTTGAAACACGCTCTCGAACAACTTGAGAGCCATTTTGTTCTTCATCACCATCCCGGTCATCGATAATGTCAAACATCTTAATAATTGANACTGGTTTAAATGCATAAAATAGAGTTGTACCTTTTCAAATCACTTGAGGGTAAGAAGTTGAAAGCGTCAAACAAATGTTCTCTTAAAAACTTTGAAACACGCTCTCGAACAACTTGAGAGCCATTTTGTTCTTCATCACCATCCCGGTCATCGATAATGTCAAACATCTTAATAATTGAGCAACTCGTATTGCGATTATGCTCCAGACTACAGTTGAAAGATGTTGAACAAGCGTACTGGTGGCCACCAGTGCCGAATCGACTTGCGGCATCTTTAAAGGAGAATGGCTTCATTATCAACTTAGATTAAAAACTGAATAGAAAAATGATTGTATGCAAATTTTTATTTGGTGGCCCTCTGCTTGTCGGTCTTGAGGGTTCCAGGTAAGCCGGAAATCTGGTGTTTTGGCGCCAACAAGTGATGATCATCAACAAAAAATGAAAAAATAAACACTGAACAAAGCTATATCCACATACAGCGTACAATAGGTTGTTTTCATGTCAGCTGATTCACGCCTCAGCAGCTGTCAGTTTTTCAGTTTCATTTCAAAATAAGCACTGATCTTTTTCCAAAGTTGTCCTCAGTTATTCTGATCACACTATTGCTGCAAATACTTTTTTTCAGTGATCAAGTCAAAGTATAAACATTCTTTCGCCTGCGTCGTTTGTTTACTTTTAAAGGGTTTTATTTACCTTCAACGATTCAAAAGATGGACGTGGTTCAAGCGATCAAGTTTTACATCAATGAGATGATTAAAGAAGCTGGGGCAGGCATCAAAGCATTGCTAATGGACAAAGAAACGGTAAGTGTGTGTATTAAAAAGATATTTTTCTTTTAAAACCACGTTGCAGATATCCATTGTGTCGATTGTATATGCGCAATCTGAGATGCAAGAAAAGGAAGTGTTTCTCTTTGAACTGCTTGAAAANTTAATGGACAAAGAAACGGTAAGTGTGTGTATTAAAAATATACTTTTCTTTTTAAACCACGTGCTTGCTTTTTACCTGCAGATATCCATTGTGTCGATTGTATATGCACAATCTGAGATGCAAGAAAAGGAAGTGTTTCTCTTTGAACTGCTTGAAAATTTTACACCGAAAACAGAATCTGCCAAGTTTGTCAAGTGTATCGCGTTCATTCGACCAACAGAAAAAAACTTGAATTATCTTATGCGCGAGCTGAAGCATCCCAGGTTTTCTCAGTATTTTCTTTGTAAGTTGTTGACTCACATTTCAAACTGTTTACTAAATAGTTTCTTTTTAGATTTTAACAATATAATCAGCAAAACCGACATCAAAGCAATTGCTGATGTCGATGAAAATGAGCTGATCAAAGATGTGCAAGAAGCATATGCCGACTACCTGGCACTAAACTCTCACACTTTTTCAATGAACGTCAAGTATTGCTACCAGAACGGCACGTACTGGAACCCGAACTCATTCGTTCGCATCAGTCAGGGTCTCATATCGTTGCTGCTTTCGCTCAGCCGAAGCCCTCTGATTCGCTATCAAGCCAACTCGGTTCTCGCAGAAAGATTGGCAGAGGATGTCCGCCGTACGATTGCTAAAGAAAGCGGACTATTTGACCCCCTTTTCAAAGGCCTGAACGATTCTCAACCTATTCTCCTAGTTTTGGACCGGAAATTTGATCCTATCACCCCTCTTTTAAACCAATGGACGTATCAAGCAATGCTTCACGAGCAGCTTACCATTGTCAATAATCGCGTCAACCTGTCGCTCATTCCTGGCACGGACAAAAACCTCAGAGAAGTCGTTCTTTCAAAAGATCAAGATGAATTTTACGAAAAGGTAAAGTTTAGTTATTTTTGTTGTCCTTTATGTATTTAAACGTCATCTTTCCAGAATCAATATTTGAACTACGGTGAAATATGCTCCAATATAAAAAATCTTATGGAAGATTTTCAGCAAAAGACTAAAAGTCAAAAGAAGATTGAAACAATCGCCGACATGAAGTCTTTCATCGAGACTTATCCGCAGTTTAAGAAAATGTCTGGCACGGTGACCAAGCACGTGACGCTAATTGATGAGCTCAGCCGACTTGTGAACACGTACAACCTGTTGGAGGTGTCGGAGACTGAACAGGAAATGATTTCCCATTCTGACCATTCCGAAACCCTGAAGAGGATCAACTCCTTACTGGCCAATGATAAAGTGCGCAACGAAGACGCCCTACGACTTGTTCTGTTGTATGCACTTACTTTTAGCAACCATTCCAGTAATGATGTTCGCGGACTCTGCCGCATTTTGGAAAGATCGCGTGGTTTTACTCCAAATGAAGTAAAGGTAAAAGCGACATTACTCGTAGTTTGTAAGTAATCCTAAATTGAGTTTATTAAGTACAGGTGGTGCAGCAAATTATCGAGTTTTGTGGTAAGAAGCGGCAGCAGACAGAGCTGCTAAGCTCAGATCATGTGAAGGCATTCACGAAGAAGATGATCAAAGGCTTCAAAGGCGTGGAGAACATTTACACTCAGCACACGCCAGAGCTGAAGGAGATCATTGAGGATTTGTATCGCGGAAAACTGCGCGAGACTTCGTATCCGTTCCTTGGCAGTGTCCTTCAACGGGAACGACCCAGCGAGCTGATAGTGTTCATCATCGGCGGACTGACCTACGTCGAGTCGATGGTGGTGTATCAGCTGAACAAGAGTCTGCCGGGAATGAAAATCATCGCCGGCGGCTCGTTCATTCACAACAGCGCCAGCTTCCTCGACGAAGTTCGCAGGGGCTTTGAGTTTCAGAGCGAAATCAAAATGGACAAAAATGTTCTCTAATCACAAGTAGACCACCACTTTTCAGGGCAGCGTAACTTTTGGCACTTGCAATATTATGTTTACCTTTCTNCGAAGTTCGCAGGGGCTTTGAGTTTCAGAGCGAAATCAAAATGGACAAAAATGTTCTCTAATCACAAGTAGACCACCACTTTTCAGGGCAGCGTAACTTTTGGCACTTGCAATATTATGTTTACCTTTCTTGCATTATTGTTTTTTATAGATATAGTTGTTCAAACACCATAAAAATATAGTTTCTTCAAGAAGCAGCAAGACCACTCTGTAGGGCTGCATTGTATCTGCAGACTGAGCCCCTTATCATTAGGCCAGTTTATTACGCTACTGTAAACTGTCTGCTCGCTCAGCTTATCTTTTAATGTTAGCTCTCTTTCTATGCTTCTGAGGATCATTGAGCTTCTTCAGCTAATCTCAGATGTAACCGACCAGTATCACCAACTCTCCTGTCGTCGTACGATAATTCACTTTTAATTGCTCCCTAACTGCAGTCAAAGAGAGTGGTGCATGATTTATTGGTAGTCAGTAGACTAGACAGACATGTTGTGTGCATGTGTTGTACAGTGAGTGCAGTCAGCTAGTTAGTTGGTAGGTAGGCCATAAAGACGACCATCGTCCGGGGCGGTAGACTGGTGTCGCCAGTTGGGTTGCCTGTCTTGTGGAGAAGACTAGCAAATCGAAGCATCGTCCATAACGGTACAGGGCAGCCAGAGACAGAGTTAGCTGGGTGAAAAGATCACCGAGTGGCACTTTGTTTGATTTTATGGCAGAGAAGCAGTC